CAGGCTGGGGTAGGAATAGCGGGAGGTGGTACCGGTCCCGTTCTGCAGGCGAGAAAACGGAAGAACGAGCGCTTAAAGAATGAACAAGTTCTTTCAGAACCGAACCTCCAGCGAGGGGAAGCGACCTTTTTTTCCTTTTTTCTTTTACTATAGTGCTCTGAAGGAAGTTTTCTGTGTAGTGAGCAAGCTTACAGAGGGGGTTTTGCTTCGTTTTTTTCACAGCAGGAGCCGCGTACTACAGGAGGGGTCTGGTCTGACTGTACGAGAACAGATCATGCCGGTTTCTGCCCAGGCTTACCCCCTTTAAGGCCGAGCAACCCTCTGAAAGTGTCTTACCCTTTGAAAAACTGCAAGGTATTTCATACAGATGTGGTGAGGCTGAGTTCATTGACATATGTGTGCACTCTGCTTAAATTAAATGCAGAGGTAGCGGCACTGGCAATCATGAAGATGCCTGACATTTCCCAGTATAAAGGCTGTGTTTACAGATGCCTATGACTGTCAAACATCAGCTGAAATTTTCCATCCAAATGTTCGTTTCACACGGGCCCACACTACCGTGCCTTGCCAGGACAGTTCTGTTGGCTGGAGAGTTGGAAAAAATAGTCATGTAACCTAGATGTCATTCTTGTGCTTAAGAAACCCCTGGTGTAGACCTGCGCCTGAGCAGACAAAAATCATTTTGTAAGGCATTCTTCAGGTCTCTGCAAAGGAGTCTGCTGCTCATAAACTCCTCAGAAGCACGATGGAGTGTCACGGCTCAACAAGACAACATGTTAGCTGCATGACAGGAGGTGGCCAGGCAAACACGGGGTAAAATACTCTTGTCTGTTACATAGACTAAGAGACAGTGAGTGCCACCTGATGAATGGTAACCAGAGGAACTCAGCTGTGGCTTTGAGCCCTGTCTCTGCAGACTCTTTAGTGGTTCATAGCAGATAGAGTGTGAGAGTTTAAGATATGATTGTCAGCTACTCATCCATCCCTTTGGCAGTGACCACTGCCTTCACAGTAGAACACTATACATGCTGTGGTGGGCAAGGCCCAGCAGTTTAATTTAAATAAACTAATCCACTAAAACAGACACAGGAATTCTAGCTCTGGTGAAGGAACGCCTATATACTGAACCATATACTCTGGCAGAGGGCCTGAGCAGATACAGGGAAGCAGTAGTCTCTTCTTTCTGTTAGACCTCCTAGTCTGTAGTCACATTTATGGCTTCCTGTACTGATTCAGAATGCATTTCAAATAGCAGAAGGAAAAATTCTGCAGTATGGCAATGCCTAATGTAAACAAGGCACAGCTATAGATGAGTTTGTTACACCTTAAGTAATGTTGGGCACTGCCATTAACGAAACCACGACATATAGTCTGCATCAGTGAAAGCTGAAATGGAATCAGATAACTGGTATCTACCACAGCAAGTATCCAACAAGGAAACAGCAACAAAGGTCAAAAGCAAAGCATTAGAAAGACTGGATGATAAGTTCAAATGCCAAATAACAGAAGACACGTGAACAAAGTAAGAAGCAAAGTAATGGTCTTCGAAATAGAGAATCGACTGTATTTTTCATATGGGTAGGGGGAATGTGTTCAGCATTTGGAAGATAATATACCAGTTTGAATCAGTTTTAAAAACTCTGTTGCAGAATGTACATTTAAGAGGGACAATCAGTGACAATGTTCCAGAAGCGTTTGTCTTCACCCATATCATTTACATAAACAGTGCTGAAGAACAACAGAAAAGTGTGTTTTGCAGTCTTTTCAAGCATCACCTTGACAATGGCTCTACCAGGAGTGTAATGGGTTGTAAAGAGTACTGTAAATTTTTTAGTTCAAACTCAGGCTCTGCTTGAGATAAGTCCAAGCAAAAGTTTATGTGACCCTTCTTTTACTGTGATTCCTGTAATACTTCGCAAAACTCAGGTTCCTAAAGTCATGCTATTTCATGAGAAGCTCAGGTTTTGTTTAAAAAAAAAATAAAATTATCAGCCTTCACTGTGGCAGTGCAAAGCATGAAAAAGTTAATGTAGAGAGCCTGAAGATTCTAGTACAAAAGCTGAAGAAAAGGAACAATTTTTTACTTTTTTTAAGAAGTGCTTCAATTTTCCAGTACCTGGATTACATTATATTGATACATTTATACATGGAGAAGCGCTTCAAATTCTCTTTTAGAGCAACAAAAGCCCGTGGTGGGTTGACCCTGGCAGGACGCCAGGTGCTCACCAAAGCCACTCTATCTCTCCCGTTCCTCAGCTGGACAGTGGGGAGAAAATATAACAAAAGGCTTGTGGGTCGAGATAGGGACAGGGAGGGGATCATTCAGCGATTACTGTCACAGGCAAAACAGACTCGACTTAGGGAAGAAGTTAATTTATTGCCAATCAAACCAGAGTAGGGTAATGAGAAGTAAAACCAAATCTTAAAAACACCTTCCCCACACCCCTCCCTTCTTCCTGGGCTCAACTTTACTCCCGATTTTCTCTACCTCCTCCCCGCCAGTGGCACAGGGGGACAGGGAATGGGGGTTGCTGTCAGTTCATCACACGTTGTCTCTGCCGCTCCTTCCTCCTCATGCTCATCCCCTGCTCCAGTATGGGGTCCCTCCCAAGGGAGACAGTTCTCCACAAACTTCTCCAGCGTGAGTCCTTCCCACAGGCTGCAGTTCTTCAGGCACAGACTGCTCCAGCGTGGGCTCTCCACGGGGTCACAGGCTGCTTTGGGCATACACCTGCTCTGGTGTGGGGTCCTCCATGGGCTGCAGGTGGGCATCTGCTCCACCGTGGACCTCCATGGTCTGCATGGGGACAGCCTGCCTCATCATGGTCTTCCTCACGGGCTGCAGGGGAATCTCTGCTCCGGCACCTGGAGCATCTCCTCCCCCTCCTTCTTCACTGACCTTGGTGTCTGCAGGGCTGCTTCTCTTACATATTCTCACCCCTCTCCCCGGCTGCCATTTCTGTGTCCCAGCAACTTTTTTCCTTCTAAATATGTGATCCCAGAGGTGCCACGACTGTCGCTGATGGGCTCAGCCTTGGGCAGCAGCGGGTCCGTCTTGGAGCTGGCTTGTATTAGCTCCGTCAGACACAGGGGAAGCTTCCAGCAGCTTCTCACAGAAGCCACCCCTGTAGCCCCCCTGTTATCAAAATCTTGCCTGCAAACCAAATACAAAGTTCCACAAGCAGTTCTACTCTCAGCAGATTTCATTGAAAAGTGGAGGTCTCTGTAAATGGCCAATGTTGCAGGGCATTAAGTGTTTACTGCTATGTATCTCTAACAAAGGAATAATTATCAATATGGGATGATATTAAAATCCTGGAACGCCTTCTTGGAAAACAACAGCTAAATAGATTCTTAGTATTGCCACATTGTGAGTTAGTTTTTGAAAGGTTGTTAAAATAAAAAAAACAACGTAACAGAATGATAGGATACATGTTAAATTTGTTCCATTTCCAAGTAAAACAATTAGCTTTCTGACTGTCAATTTTGCAAGCTTCATTTGACATATGCTATCTAGTTCAGGAATATTTTCAACCCTTACTTTGATTCTTAAAGCTTTTTAATTCCTGAGCCTTGTTTACCATAACTCATTTGTCTTGTGCAGCTGACTGAGGCAACGTTAATTACTTTAAGAGCCATAAGTTCTGTGTTTCCTTAGCTATTTTTACCATCATTGTACTGGTGCCTTCTTTGTCCCTTTAGGTCCAATTATTTCATGAGCTGAGCTGGGCATTGGGTTGTTTTCTGTGTTGACTCAAAGGAAAGAAATCTGTCCCACAGCAACAGAAGCCCTCTATAGGCACACAATTACTTCTAATTCAGTTGACCTGGTGACCAGAAGTGTCCCCTCTGCAAGACGGCAGAAACTACTAATGTATCTTCTTAAAGGTACATTATGGAAGCCCAGTCCAGCTCTGATTTGATGCTAATATACAAGAAATTGCTATGGACCTGAAGCTTACTCTCCGTTAAGGAAAAATCTTTTGTTATCAGCTTGCAAATGTTGTGGCAGAACAGTACCAGCACCATTAACTAAGCAAGTTTTGCTCTTTCAGTTGCACTACTAAGTTCACAATTCAGCGTGAGTATAATACCTGAATTTTAGATGGATACATATCTTTACAGTTGTTTCATAAATATGTGTTTGCAATAGAAATGTGGATACTGAAAATTAATTCAGCCATTCCCCATGGTGCCATGTTTTGCAGTTCAAATTCTCATTCTGCCACTGAGTGCAGTTATAATTTGAGGAATGTCATACAGTAGTGTTATTGTAAGATGAAGATTGTTAACCTGAGCTATTGGAAAAATCATTTTACAAAAAGTTCTAAAAATAAAATGTTGGCTTATGAAAAACACTTAAAGAGAATGGCTAA